TTAATAGCTTCTTTGAACTCAGCACCAGCTGGAGTAAAACGAAGAGCTATAAAGCTCTCCTGTTTTTTAAAACCACTGCCTGCCTCTTCCCCTTTTTATGCCCCCGAAGTGTATTTAAGCAGATATGTACATGTATACATCAGCAGCACTAGCTAATTGTGAAATACTATTCGATGTGACCCAAACCTATCTCTTGCAGTTTATCTTCACAATCATTCTTAAAACATGTGTCTCCAATGATTTTCAGAGACACTCTATTCTCTCCAAAATGGCAATCGGCTTTCAGGAGTCTAATTATGCCCACTGAGTCAGTACCAAGGTATACTCACAGTGGGCTGCTCATTGTGCTGGGGGACGATGGTTACAGGACCAGCAGCATGCTGACTGCAGAGGGTATGGCTGGGAAGAGCATTGTCACATGTCCTGGAGGTGTCTGCCTTTTTCAGAGGTGCTAATTGGGATCATCTACTACACAGAAGTAAGTGCATCTCTGGCAATGTCCTGTCATTACAGAAGCGGGCTGTCAGTGACTCACGGTCTCCCTGTTCTTCTGTGACTTTCTATCCAGCTCTACTGCATGTCTCTGTCCTGCCACCCATTGGTGATTAATGAGTGGTGAAATTCTTCTGTTGAAAGAATTCCCATTGATTCAAGAGGGCCAAAACAGTTTTCATTTGTGGTAAACAATTATTTTCTTTTGCATAGATGGTAAGCATGATTAGGTCTCTAATTAGTTGTTTTTCAGAGCTGCTTGGGTAGCTTTGCATTGTAGTAAATAATGGCTTACTACACTTGCATTGTAGTAAAGAACTGTTGACCTCTTTTTACCTGGCCCCGTGAACTTGAGAATTCTGTGCATAGTAGGCCAGCATTAACTCATTAAGGTATTGGAATTAGGCATTAAAGCAACTGCAGAAAAAAAAACACAAAAAAAAACCCACAAAAAAAAACAAAAAAACAAGCAGCTTTTTGTACTTATTTAGATTAGGATTACACTCTGCAGCAACTCAGAACTGATAAAAATGCCACTGTTTTGACTTTCTAAATTGTAAATAGATACGGCGTTTAGAACCTTTCTCTCTGTGGGCCACTCAGTGGAATACAAAAATCAGATTGGGACAATCACAAACTTAAATTCTGGTAATCCTCATATCTGAAACAGGACCTGGTAGATTTATGTAGATCACTTTGTATAGATTTTGTAAAATTCTCTATTGCTGACTGTATAGACAATGTTCATCCAGAAGAACAATTACACAAAAATACATGTATGAGGTATTCTACACTAAACCCTTTGGCAGAAATGCATAGAGAATAGACTTTTTGAACATACTGACTAAAATGAATAATAGTTTGTATTATCATATGTTCCATTCATAATGGTATGACTAGGTGGAAATGTGATGTTTATGAAATATCACCTTGCTCTATATATGAATCACAGAATCATAGAATAGTTTTGGTTGGAAAAGACCTTTAAGATCGTTGAGTCCAACCATTGAACCAGCCCTAAGTCTGCCACTAAACCATGTCCCTAACCACGACATCTACGTGTTTGTTAAACACCTCCAGGGATGGTGACTCAAACACCCGGCCCAGCCTGTTCCAGTGCTTGACAGCCCTTTTGGTAAAGAAATTCCTCCTAATATCCAACCTAAACATCCACTGGTGCAACTTGAAGCCATTGCCCCTTGCCAATCACTAGCAACGAGGGAGAAGAGACAGACTCCCACCTCTCCTTTCAGGTAGTCATAGAGGGTGATAAGCTCTCCCTTCAGCATCCTTTTCACCAAACTAAACAACCCCAGCTCCCTTAGTCGCTCCTCATAAGACTTGCACTCCAGACCCTTCACCAGCTTCTTCTTCATTGGACACACTCCAGCATCTCAATGTCTTTTTTGTAGTAAAGGGCCCAAAACTGAACCACAATATTCGAGGTGTGGCCTCACCAGTGCCGAGTACAGGGGAAGGATCACTTCCCTGGTCCTGCTGGCCACACTATTCCCGATGCAGGCCAGGATGCCATTGGCCTTTTTGGCCACCTGGGCACACTGCTGGCTCATGTTCAGTCGCTGTCAACCAGCACCCCCAGGTCCTTCTCCTCCAGGCTGCTCTCCAGCCACTCCTCCCCAAGCCTGTAGCGCTGCCTGGGGGTGATTGGTACC